TTTATTATCTTTTAACTTTGTTTTCAACTCCAGTTAGGGCCTGAGCCAGTGGAAGAGTGGGAGCTGTCAGCGATACTCAGTGCAGATATAATGCTATTTAAATGCTAATGTGTTAAGAGGAGCAAAACGACCTTTACTCACACTCTGCACGCGGGCGGAGCGGCAGCACAAAACAGAAGCCCTTAATAAATGAGCCTCTTCCTCTGACTCTGTTTCCCATCCCTGCACATCTCGTGTCAGGTGCAAGGTGTGTTTATCACAGCTGATCCCGGGGAGGCTTTGACGACATTATAGAGCCGGGTATTGGTTCAGGTGTTGAGTCAGACATGATTGGATGATTACGTGTTTTAAGTTGGATGTGACTGGTTTATTTTGTTCGGGGCGGGAAACGTCTTTTTGTGAAGACTTTCTATCATTGCCGAGATAAAGCTCAACGGTGATTTGGATTGGCCTTCAATCTAAAGCCGACAGCATTAAGGATCCCCGCCTTTTCCCTCTCCTTAAAATATCCAATTTTCTTGTTCAGCTCCATCTCTAGAATCATTAGCGTCATCACCGTCAACATTTGCGATAGCCAGACATCCAAAGAAAATTTGGAGCTGTAATTGAATTGCCATTACATTTGTAAATTCACCTTCCATCCCAGCAGTCCATCTAAGCGGTTGGCACCCTTGCCAGGAAGCCGATAATGTGATGGCAGGTGCTGGTATCAGTGTAAAAACAACAAGCCCTCTCCCTGTCCACAGATGTCACTGGTACTTGTCTCCCTGTTTGCAGACTACTTGCCAGAAAGATGCACACGGACCAAAAGGGCTGCTTTCTCTCAATCTGCTTGGTGTAAATATTAAATAACCTTCAAGAGACTTACTTTTGGAATCAGGGTTCTACTTCTTTTTTCTTTCTTTCTTTCTTTCCTGTAGCTGATGTTGAATTCTGTATCAGCAGTGGAAAGAGAAATGGAGGGCGGATGAGTCTGTCATCTGTCGTATAATCCCAGGAAGTGCCATAACTCTGCGGGTAGATAATTTATTCAGTGCAGCTCCCCGAGATACCTCAAGGAATAGTCAGCCGTCAGAGAAAGGCCTTGGAGTAAGACGGTGACATAACTTCAGACAGAAACGTAGCATCACATCAATCTATAATGCACCATCATCCGTCTGCTGCAATTACCAGCAGGTAATCACCTGGACTGACTCGGGCCGAGCAGCTTCACCTGATTTAGCCTCTTTCAATACGTTCGGTAGCAACGCTTTCGATTGCTTACTTATGTACAGCCTGACAAAAAAACAGTTCATCCTCGGGGAAAATGTCTTATCTTTTTTTTTTTTCCCTCATGCATGCTTAGAGTAGCCTGGATTAATTTTACATCAGGCTGCCAAGTAGACATCCTCATGTAAGACTGGTAAACAGCGAGAATATGTTTTCATCTCGACAGATGGAGGACGACAGCAACAGAGGAGCACGGCTGCACCTCAGGGGTTGAGATCTTAGACCTCATTAAAAATAAGTTTGAAAGGAATAAATTTTATCCAATTTGAAAGATGAAAAGGAACATCCACCCTTAGTTACACTTCACTAACAGCACAGTAAGTTATTCTGATGATCTGGCGCGCAGGTTGTTTGATCTGTGAATGTGGGGACTTTGTCAGAGCTATTGACAAAATAATCAAGAGGAAAATCCTCATTGTAGGTTTGTAACGTATGTACAAAAGGGAGGCTTTCACAGTGGTATTTGAATGTAGGAGCAAAAATGTCATCGTCTGTTCGTCAGTTTTAGGACAACTGAGCACTAATGTTGAGGGTGCACGAGTCATGAGATGTCTGTGAAGGTTCCTCAGTGGAAATTTACTATCAAAATCCCTGCAGTTTTATTATCAGGCGAACACGTCTGGGCTTGTGGATACATCAGAAAACACAATACAAACACACATTTAATATGTTGGGAATGAATTATACACCAATGAAGCACCAACATGTCATTCAAATGTCTTTCAACAGAACCAGTTAAATCATCTTAATGGCCTCTAGTACGAGTGACACTGCAGTTAAAATTAAGTTTATTAACGGTGCTTTCTAGCATGTCCGGATGTTGCTTTTTATACGCAAGAAGGCATATCATAAGTGGAGAACATCGTCAGCTTCATGACTGAGCGTTTCCACCTTGCATCTGCAGTGTACCAGTGACAGTCTGACAAACACAAAACTCCCAAGGTTTCATTCCTAACAAATCTAAGGAACCAATAGTTCCAACTTGCAGGGTGGAGTGTTCTGTATCTTGTAATTTGTAAGGCTAAATGACTCCAATATAGGAGCTTGCCATTGTGCAGCACGGAGAGGTTTTACAGTGTTTGAGTCATAGGTGAGCTGGTGTGCTCGAGCTGCCACAAACAGAGGGGAGTGAGTGGACAGAAAGGCAGGAAACAACAATGTAGTCACATATTTTAAGCCATAACAGGATTATTTAGCAGAGAAAAAGTAAATGTGTAATGTTGATACACATAGATGAGTTCTCAGGGTTTAAACCAAGGACTGGACTCTGTGGGCCTGCATATATTCTACCACTTTGGCACTGTAGCGTGTTAATAATATGTTTTGTTTGCAGGTAATGAGTTGGAAATGTATGCAGACTTCATACTTGAAATTCCCTGTAAGAGGTTTGGTCTTGAACTTATTGTTTAAGACTTTACAATGTTGAGAACTCCACCCATTGTGTTTCTTCCTATTCGGAAAGTTATCACAGGTAGGCTGCAAGTATTTCTTTAAAGGATGGTTTATAGTAATGAGTACACCTGTACAATAGTGTCCTTGATGTCCTTTGTGTTAAGGTTGAATGTAGCGCAGTAAATGTAGAATAATTTAGAGTTGGAGGGTTTTTGGATGTGCAGATAAGCCTCTCAGCTTTTTAAATTCAATCTTTGAAAGGCCAGTTCCCAATGTTACATCCCATGTGAACCATGTGGAGCAGAGCTGTTCCTAGTCATGTCAATTTGGCAAATAAGATGGTGACTTGAGGTGGTTTTGGCTTTTTCAAAAAATAGTTAATGCCCATAATTGGAGATGGAAACACTTTTTTTCAGATAAGTTGTGACATAACTAAAAAGTTAAACGTACTTGACTGATTAAGTGTTTCCACTTTTTTTGTAGTCTTAGTTGACAGCATGAAACATGGCCAGTACCAGCTGGTGTGCAAGAATAATTATAACGATCCCGACTGAAAACAATTCCTGAAGACATCTCTCCATTTTTCTAGCATAGATGCTCAAAGTTTGTTTGTTCCTTCTTCTTGGCAAACAAGTGTTTTTTTTTTTCTCCTGCTACTGTGTGTGTTACTGCCATGTAGCGTACACCGTATACCGTATACCGCAGCCGAGTTTGTTTGCTTGTTAACAGATACAAGCCTAATTTGAAATTTTTGGATTGTTTTGAAAAATTCCAAAGATGTGCTTCAAATTTGCTTTTAAAAAAATGAGATGAAAACACAACAACCATTATGAAAATATCAAGGCAAAGGTCTTGTCATCGTAGTAAATCATAAATCTATATGAATTACTCTACAGGTTGTTACAGAAACGAGACAAGCCGGTTTCCATTCTTTGCGTAACCTTTAGATTACGTTTCATTGGACGAAGCAGCATTAATTTGTAAGAACAGCAGCAATAATAACTCCTGCATGACGTGACGCTGACAATTCTGTTCAGTGGAGTGCCTGAATAATCGTGACTGAGGCGGCCATAATAATATGGATATAAAGGTATCAGAATTAAGTTTCAGAATTTATGGAGTTGTTAACATGTTTCGTCTCAAGCTCATGAAAACTCTCCTTCGTTTTAATGGGAGTGAAAGTGCACGGGTTTGTGATGCGTGTCATTAGCAAGCAATGGAGCTTAGATATGAATGTTATTTGTGTTTGTTTCCTGTTTCATAAGACGGGGTGCAGGTAACTATGAAATGCTTTTCTACTGCAATATGCAACTCTTATAGAATAAAAACAAAGACGGGCAAACAACAAGATCATTATGAAATGAAGCAAAGTAGTCATGTGTATGATTTTCACACCTTAAAAAATAACCAAATTTTATGAGCATTTCTTAGTTAGTTGAAGGTAATATGAGTTTGGCATGAAGTCTTTCAGATTGCATTCATGGTTTATTCCACACATTGTTTCCAAAGCAATGTCTCACTGAGGCACAAGATCGATTATTCTGGGGGTCATTTATAATATAACGTGGAATTTTTAACCCACATCGTCCTGACGTGATTCAAAGGGAGGGCACTGCAATTAGAGGAGGAATCGACAGCGGTGTGGCACAAAGATAAAGTAAACCATACCTGTGATTAAGTTAAATACATCGGAATAGAGAGCTGGGACGTTTGCCCTTGGTGACCGATCACACAGAATTGGTTTTTAATCTCAGACTACATGGCCAACAGAAACAGAGAGGGAGGGTGCATTTGGTGATCGCCTCCCAAGGACTCCTATCCGGCCGTACGCCTCACAGCGCACTCCTCAGGGCTTTGACGGATGACACCAGCACCACGGAGTGATAGGCTATTATTTCACTTTGCATTGGATAAATGGCAATGCGGGCCTCTACCTGTTGCCTGCCCTTCTCGTTCTTTCATTCTTTTCTTTTTTTTTTCGTCCCCCATCTCTCCGGCGGTATGCCATCCCAGACCTGAATTGAAGGAGAAAAATAGGACGGCTGAGATTTTGTCTGTGCAATCTGTGAATTGCACTTCCACATTTCTGATGTGCTACTTTTAGTTTTCTTTTCTTTTTTTTTTTTTTTTTGAGTGCCCTGTAGTTGAAATGGATGTGGAGAGTGAGAGTATGGTGGATAATGACCAACTTGTATGTGATTTGGTCCTAAGCTTTTTTTTCCTCCTCATCATTAAGTGTGAAATGCATTTCTTTTTCGGGTAAAAGGCTTTTCTACCCTGAGTGTGATGTAACGTTTTCTCCCCCTCTCTCTCTTTCTTTCTCTGGTTCTTGCTTTCAGACCAACAGTATTCATGGTCGCCCTCGCAGTACTTCGATGAGGACAGCTACTCCCCTCCACCCAGGAACATGAAGGGTCTCTCAGGCGGCCGCCCTGCCCAGCTCCAGCTCACCTCCCCCACCGCCCACACCTGCGGCCTGGCTGATTGCGACCATTCCCTGGACCACCACCCCTACCATGGCGACTCACGGCCCCCCTCCTACCTCCTCAGTCCGACTGAGAGCTGCCCCCTCGATGGTCACCACCGCTGCTCCCCACGAAGCTCCATCCACTCCGAGTGCATGGTGATGCCGGTGTCCATGTCGGCCACTGACCACTCCATCTCTAGTAGCACTTTCCCCCGCATGCACTACGGCAGTGCTTCGCGGGACAGCGGTGGAAACACTTCTGGCGGCAGGGATTCCCACGACGACGGTGGCTCATCTTCGCGTGGTGGCAGTGGCAAAATGAACCGAATCCCAGCAAACCTCCTGGACCAATTTGAGAAACAGATGCCGCTGCACCGGGATGGCTTCCACACGTTGCAGTACCAACGCACGTCCACCACGACCACAACTACAGAGCAGCGCAACGAAAGCCCCGGGCGAATACGCCACTTAGTCCACTCTGTACAGAAGCTCTTCACAAAGTCGCACTCCCTGGAAGGTTCCTCCAAGATGAACGGAACCAAAAGCGACTCGCACAGGGACAGCTCACACCACCACCATCACCACCACCAAGGCCATCACAAACACAGCAAACGCAGCAAGAGCAAAGAACGCAAGTCCGACGGCAGCGGCAAGCAGCGCTCGGGAGGTTGGTGGAGTTCCGATGACAACCTTGACAGTGACAGCACGTACAGAACGCCAAGCGTCATGTCACGGCATCCCGTCGACCACATCAGCCACTGTTACCCTGACTCAATGCACGGCCACCTGGGGGGAGACCTGTCGCTAAAGACCTCCAAGAGCAACAACGACGTCAAGTGCTCGGCCTGTGAGAGCATAAGCATGGCGCCCGAAGGCAAGTTCATGAAGAGGAGTTCCTGGTCAACGCTAACGGTCAGCCAAGCCAAGGAGGCCTACAGGAAGTCCTCGCTTAACCTGGAGAAGCCCATGATGCCCACTGACCTCAAGCCCAACCTCAGGCCCTGCCACTATCTGCAGGTAAGTTTGGGTTCTTTTACTGTGAGGGTTGTACTGTACCTCTCAATCAAACAGTAGTGACCGTACAGATGCTATCATGCTCCAGCTCTACTGGGGTTAGGGGAAGCAACATGAAAACCTGTTGTTTTTGGCTTGGGTTAGGGTTGGTGTTGTCAATTGTTTAGTAATATATTGAGCAAACAAAGGGGGCAAAATTGCTGCTAAATCAATGAAGGACATTAAATATAAAGAGGGCTAACGGTGTGCCAACTCGCTAAGAAACATACAACAGAAAACACCCAAGTTCTCATACCCAAACAGAAGGCGGCACCACCCAACTCCTAGTCTACCTAACAGACAAACTCTTAGCTTAATGTGGTTGTGGTGCTAAAGCTCAACATGGCCCAGTCTGCAGGCAGTCAAACAAGTGCCTCATCACACAAATCACAAAGCTTTGAGCGACCAGTAACCGCTGGTAACTGGCGACAGAACACAAAAACAACCAGTAGCCATCAGCCATCAGATACAGGAAAATACAAGCTGCCAGCAAGTGTTGCAGAATAACACAGAATACATAAGGACCACAAGAGGGGACACATTAAATCACAGCAACCAAAACTGACAGGTTACTTTTAAACCCGGGTGTAGGGACAGTCCATGTCCAATCAGGCACAAGGATAGGGAAGTAAAGGAACAAGGACTGGAGCTTCAGGTCAATCAGCCAGGAAGAGAGGCAGGATGTAGAGAATGCAAAGAAGCCACCACCCCTGTCAGGAGCCCACACAAACTCATCTACATACTTGAAACAGGCTCAGCAATGATTCACCACAAGGATGGAAGGTGCAAGACCACCGGGGTTGTAACAATGCAGTGAAACATCACAGCCGCTGATGAAAAAACCCTGTTCAGGGCACTTGATTAGATAGACCAATACAAATGAATTATTCTCTGGCTTGGTTGATGAGTATTGGGAGAGACCGGTGAAAGAAGTAGACGGACGTTTGCATTGAGACTCATCTGACAGGTGAAAAACTGAAGATCTTGTTCATTTTATGTCTGATACTACGGTGATTGGGAATCGACTCAAATTAATGTAAGATGTATAAGAACTCCCGCCGCTGTAGCACAAAGACAAACATCAGTTCCAAGAACCGTAAGCATGCGCTGCACAAGAGAGACATTGTCAGTCAATTGACAAAGGAAGAAAAGCTGCTCATCTCAGCTGGATTTCTGATTGATCCGAAAGACAGTATTTTGTCTGTCTCTGCCCTGGATATCAAAATGCGAACCTATGCCTATGGCTCAGCATGTGGCTGGCAGTAGAAAGGACCAGCACAGCGGGACAAATCAATTAACTCTGTAAATCATCTGTGCCGGAGGGGAAGAGTTGGCAGTATGAGAATAAAAGAACAGAAATCGATGTTTATTTTTACCGTTGTGTTTTGCTGCGATTTCGCATCAGTCTCACTTTGGAAAAAAAAAAGGTAGCATTTAGCCCAGGCCCATGATCGGGCTCTGCAGGAGACCCCATAGCACTGTGGGGATCAATTCGGAGTGAGTCAGCACTTTCCACAGAAGTGTTTCACAGGTTTTATATGCATGCTGAAGGGTAAATGAAATAAGAAAGCATACTTATAAATCCCAAATTGCAAATCCAAGCAGGGAAAAATAGATTCTGTAACAATGCTGCAGAAAATACAGTATATAACAATGTGAGATCTGATAGTGTCATGTAAGTACCGCCTGCAGCCAAAATAAAATGAGCACTTCAGCACACTGGGAAAGAGGACTTGGAGACTCAGCGCTCTAAGCACAAAGTGTGTTGTATGGATTACAGACTGTTGTAAATGGAAAGCCAATACATTACTCAAATCAGCCAATGGAGCCAAAGAAAGCAGTCTATCTAAGTTTACATCAACAGAAAGTTTCTCAGGAGGACTCCCTTTGACTAGCATATTTTTAAACATAACTGATCATCACTTTGAATCAGTCAGACAGTGCACTCATCCACTTAAATTTTTTACAATTCCAGTAAGTGCAGTAATCTCTCAATAGGGGGGGAGTCGCAGTGGTTAGCGCCCCCCCTTCCTCTTCCTCCCATCCACTTGGTCATTCAGCTGAGGTAGTGTCCGAGTCGCGGCACTATAAACACTTCTAAAAATATCCTCCTCCCCTGCTTCCTGCCGCAGGGCTATATTTAGCCCAGCGTTATCAATCCAAGCCGTACAGGGTGTGACACATCTTCCCTCCCCGGAGGAGAATCAATGCCCTCTCAGGGACCTCTCAGAGAAGATGTATTGAAGGAGAGGCCGGAGAGAAAGTTGGAGATGCATACAGCCGAGGTTTATGGCTCTGAGGATGCATTTAGATGCTCCTGGAAGCGGAGGGGAGGAAAACAAAGCAAGACGAGAGAAAGGAGACGGCTGTTTTCGCTCCCCACGGCTACTATTGCTGCTCATCAGCAGGGGCAGTCAGGCAGACGGATAGACCCAATAGTCAGGAATGATCCTCTGCACACACTGAGGGGTCACATTGAGAGTATTCACTTCCTGCTGCTGCTGAATTGGGATTGCCCACAACTGTCTGCACTGTAACAGCATAAACTGTATCCAGAGAGTGCGTGTGCCGAGTGTCTGTGTCTATGTGTGAGTGACAGTGCATGCGGGTGGGTGTTTTCGCTGTTTATCGCACACCAGATGGTTTGATGATGTGCTCGTCACCTTGTTTGTGTCCTTGGTTGATGACAGAGGAAATAAAAAACTTCTGAAGTGTTGTAAAAGTATGAGGCTGCCAACAGAATGATTTGTCTTGCCGAGGCTCCGAACACGCAAAACTTTCGTTCTAAAATGCTTAACTTTTTGCTACGTTTACGCCAAGTATCCACACTACTCTGGCATTTGGAGAAGTGTAGCCCCATTTGACCCTCTCCTCTCCAAAAGAAAGAAAAAACCATCAGTCTTGACTGTTCGATGTTAATTTAACATGGGTAACAAATTGGGCATTGCTGACCTTGGTGTTGGTGTTAGCATCATCTCATCGTGTTCCAGTTAAAGAATTAGAGATCAACTTTTTTCCAGGTTCGATACCAAGTATTAGTAATTAAGGACCCTGATAACGGATAAAAATGGAAAATCTTGGTGTCAAAATTCAGAATAACAAACTCTAACACAAAACGTTGTTGAAATGCCGTAGATGATTTCAGTGCTGATGCCATTACTCGTAACGTTACCCAATCAGAGGGTGCTGTAGGCGGGATATTGCTCAAGATTATAGAGTGTTCTACAGATAAAGAGAAGAAGCTGCATCAGTACCATAGTTGAGCATAAATACATTTACTTTGAAAAATAGCAATACTGATCATCGCAAAAAATTTGGAGTATCAGATCTGATAACTAGCTTGGCTAATAATCAGTTGACCCCTTAAAGAAATCTCTGGTGTTATTTTTTTGCCTTTGTTGATCGTCCTCCATCGTATCTTAATGCATTTGAACGGTCATGGGCACGCCCGCCGATAGGGGGGGACAAACGGGTCTGCTGTCCCGGGCCCGGAGTGGGCGGGGGGGCCCAGAACTGGACCATCATTGAATTGTGGATTTTGTTTTTCCCCAAAGAGGGGCTATTAATGGAAAGAAACAGTGCAATATTCGAGTTAGAAGTTTTAATTTGTTTTCGTCTGAACTGTCCTTAATATCTTTGGAGTTGCCCTCCACCCCCACCTCCAACATAAAATGGTTTGGCCCCTGACCAAAATCTGATGTGCTTTTATTGGAAGGAAAATTCGCCGCATGGCATTTGGAGTGCAAATCTAAACATGGCACACCAGCGGTAACCTAACTTGCAGTGGTAAATATTATCTAATTTCCTGCTATATGAAGAATGTACATACAGCTTAATGTTAACCATTTCTATGAATGCTAGTCGGGGGGGGGCATCTAATGTCATCTTGTCCCGGGCCCAGGGAAGGCTGTCAGCTGGCCTGATTAAGGGTACTGATAATGGAAAAAAAGGAAAATCTCGGTGTCAAAATTCAGAATAACAAACTAACGCAAAACTTTGTTGAATTGCCGTAGATGATTTCAGTGCGGATGCCATTACTCGTAGCGTTTACCCAATCAGAGGGTGCTGTGGTTTGGATATTGCTCAAGATTATAGAGTGTTCTACAGATAAAGAGAAGAAGCTGCATCAGTACCATAGTTGGGCATTAATACATTTATTTTGAAAAATAGCAATACTGATCATCGCAAATAATATGGAGTATCAGATCTGATAACTAGCTTGGCTAATAATTGGTTGACCCCTTAAAGAAATCTCTAGTGTTTTTGCCTTTGTTGATCGTCCTCCATCATATCTTAATGTATTTGAACAGTCATGGGAATTGCGTGTTTAGCGTGTTAGTATAGACGGAGATTATTTCTGTAAGGGTGACACGACCCTCATCTGGACGGAGATCGTTTTTGTCTTTGCAGTGAAAACGTGTTAGCGTGGACACAGCCTGAGGTGTGTGAGCGGGATAGCACGTGTGCATGCATGAGAGATCAATGAAGTGGACATTGGAGAAGACAGAGATAGATTAATATTGGCTGCTCTTTCTCTGAAATGACAAATGTGGGGGAATCAGACCTGGCATTAGCCATTGCTCCCTGTCGCTTCACAAATTAGGTCCAATTAGCCCTCCCCAAGACACGCACACACACGTGTTGTTATTCCATCAAGACTTATGAGCCTCATATTAATGAAAAGAGGTAATTGTGACATTCATCTGCTGATGGCAACAGAATGTGAATATACAGTATATAATACAAATGAGTACACCCCAGTGCAATATCATTTACATGTCAAATTGGTTATAATTGTATCACCTAACAACAGCTTTAGTATTTCCAAGTTGAGTAGTCGGATTTTTGCTCTTTTCTATAATTAAGAACAAAGTAGATTTACTATTTATAAAGAAGGATACTTGTGTTGCAAATTTCTAGAGAGATGATCTGCCCTGGTTAGTGTTGCTTGTTACCCTCCTCTA